TTATAAGTAAGAGAGACAACCGTTCTAAGTTTACTTGTCATAATAGTGCATTTTCCAGGATTATAAAATAAAGTTTATTTAACATAAGCTTTCTTTTTGGGGGAGAGGGGTTGGGGTATCATGCACACCCCTACATTGAATGTATGTATCAATTTTAAGAAGCATCTCGATTATAAAAATGTTAAAATATTTTAAAAATGCATCTTGGCATCTAGATAATATAGTACTTATTAAGTATCAATGAACAAACAGGGATTAATATCTTATCCAGGATAATTTACTAGTTTAATACTTATTAACTGAAAAAAATTAGAAATCCTTTGAAGGAGAAAAATATACCATTGAAGAGGAGTAAATTTCCCAGGTCCCATTTTCCAGCCAATTGCAAAAACTCTTCTTGGGATGATAAACAATGGCCAATCATGCAAAATGTCTTATTGCTATCAGATGACAGACTTGTTTTTCTTGGAAGCACAAAATCCAAAGTAACGTCAGGTTTCCTACGCAAAAAACAAAGTTAAATCAATTATTTCAGTGACTTCAGTATTTTACAAGTATGAATGTTTAATAATGGGAAATTCTTGAACAGTTTTCTTGGTTCGGCATCACGGACCTGGTGAAGGGAAGAAAAAGAAGAACGGATTCTGCTGTCTCTTGGTCCACGGTGCTGGCAGTATGCAAATTCCAGAGAGGGGGGCAAAACAGATGCCTGCTGGTCCTATAGCAGGCCATGGGACATGGGACTGGACATGTGACACGAGTTTTCTTTGTCATTGACTTCTGCACATGTGCCTTCCTGATTTACAGACACAAACTGACCACCTCCCCCTAATTTCACCAAGAAGTCTCCCACTGTGGTAAACCATTCCTAAAGTATCATCTTCTATGAAGCGTTCAAAGACTACTCAGAAAAGAATATCACGTCTCTAGGTTTTGTTCTAACTAGCCACTGAAATGCCAGTGCTTTTCCGCATTTTCTGTTTTTTCAATGCTCAGTCACAGAGCTTTAGATTAGTCTCCTATATTCACATGAATCCTTACAAAAGACAGAGTAGGAAAAGGTAAACAAACGCTTTCTCAAAGACAGACACACATGATGAGAGGATTTCACCATCCGGTTGGAAGTGCAGAGTACCAAGCTCTACCCCTATTTGGGGAATGTTTTAAGCTCCACAGTAAGATAAAGGTAAGGTAATTTATAAATTATAGGTAGGTAAATTATAAAGGTAAAGTTTATTAATAAGATAAAGACTTAGTATACACTGACATGGTTAGCTCTTAATGAGAACTTCTACACTGGTATATCCATTTATTTAAAAACTCCTCCCTAAGGCTTTCTGTTTCATATCTACCCTGTAAATTTAACTATTTGAATAGAAATATTTTCTGATAAAGATGTAAGATAATTTCTTTTTTTTTTTAATTGAGGTTTAACTGGCATACAACATTAGAATGAGATATTTTCTATTACAGGCATCTTTTCTGGAACCAAATACATGGCCATGACTGAAACACTACTGCCACCTATTGGCAGCATTACTTGATACAGTTTTTAAGGGTAAAGAATGCTTTGCAAGATGAATTTGACAAATATTATCTACTGTGTGCCATATATTCCTACCAGATTTGTGTGCTCAACATTAAATCACAACATAAACTATTAATAATTTGTTTTTAGTGTCAATTATGTACTATCAAAAATGTTCTCTTGAACTGTATTATTTATAGAAATTATTCTTTCAGTTAGTACCAAATTTAAATCAAAGGAATAATATATTTGTCCTTGATCACTTGCTCATCACTCTACTAACAGATGAAATCATTACATAATCAGTACCAAATCATTGGTACTTTGTACCAAATGGCAAAAAAATTCCTTCAAAGTAATGGAGAAATATGTGAATTAAGTGACTCTGCTAGCTATCTACAATGAACACCTAAACTCTCATTCTGAACAAGTCTCATAGTTTATGACTCCTATAACTGTCAGGTGGTCTGATTCAGAAAAAGGCTGTGGGATGATAAAACTTCAGGTTCTAAAGCATGGGCTATATCTGAGTTCAAGTTTCAGTTGTACCCCATTCTTGTGGCATGACTTTACCCCACTCTAGGTCTCAGTTGTCTCATATGTAAAATAGAGGAAACAATATACCTACTTCCTGGTGTTGTCAGGAGGACCAAATGAGGTGATCTGTGTAAAGTGCTGAATACAGTGCCTGGCACATGCTGAGAGCTCAAGAAATCACTATTCACAGCCTTATCCCCAACTCTAACCGATCTAACTCAAGGTTCCGAAAAAAAATTTACTGATTGGCTGAAGACTGAGAACTTCTCAGAAAATATTTATTTGGAATATGGAAACTTCAATGACATTTTTCCACGGATTTTTAAAATGAATACACAAAAACTGAAGCCTTGATTTTATTTCCAAACCCTGTTCTTTCCTGTGGCGGATCCTGGGGACTGACTTCCCAAGGCACTCACAGGCCCCTTCTCCTCTGCCTCCCTCTAGCATTGAGGCTGAACAGCTGTAAGCCATCAACTTGATAGCCTCCCTTTCAGCAATGACCCCAGCCTTCCCTTTGTTTCCATGGGCCCTTTCTTCTGCCTGGAAGGCCCTCCCACCCACCCGGCCCCCCAACTGCTCAGAGCATGCTCCATCTCTCCTTGAGGTCTCAGCTTAAATAATCCTTTCCCAAAGAGGCCTTTCCTGATCCACCTCTTAAATAGCAAACCAGATATTTTCTCTCTAGGGATCTGTTTTATCTCCACAATATTTGTCATAATTTGTATATATGCATTTAATTGTGTTTGCTTGTTGTCCGCTTCCCCATTAGACTGTGAGCTCCAAGGAGGCATGGAACTTGAGTCTTGAGTCTTGTTTACCATTTCCCTCAGGCACATGCTGGGCACACAGTAATTCCTCAATACATACTTAATGGATGAACAAATGAATGAATAAAAATGGGTTCATTTATACTAAGGGCATATGTTATTTCTATGGTCTAATCTACTTTGAGGGATATTTGAGAGAATTGGGAGATAGTGTTTAGAATGCACCTAGCAAAAGGTCTGCAACATCACAGGTATACAATATTTTACAGTCCATTTGATTACATCTAGATGCCTCATCTTGAAATTCAAAGCTTGCTTGTCAGGTAGTTTTGCCATATCCATTCGTTTTTCTTTCTCATTATTCAACTTAGAATCTTCCTTCCAGCCAGCCTGACCCCATCCCGTGCCATACCAGTTTCCAATTCTTTATCCCCTTTCATGTTCTTTCATTCATAAAATATTTCCCAACTCTTATAATTCCAAGATATATTATAGCTCTCTCTGGGTTAAATTTTACATTAAAATATTCCAGAAAATATTCTTATGAACTTGACCCACAATTTTCCTGGTCAGTAAACATCACATAGTATTATACCTGAATCTATCACCGGGTATGTTTCAAGGACCCTATCTTAATCTATCACCTGACATACTGGCTTATATTTTTCCCTAGTTATTCTAATTTCTTTTGAAACCCTGACTTAATTTAGATATTAGTCTTTAAAAATTTTTAGGTATTAGCTTAATTAGCCACTTAGTTGAAATAATTCCTTGTGGATTCATTTTATAAATATATAGGCTTGAAGGACCAAATTGTAGGTTTTGTTCCTTGATCTAACATATATTCGACATGTCTAAATATCCAGATTTCTGCATGTTCCCCCAAACTCAAATATTAATTTTCAACAGTTACTAGTATGGGAAATTAATTTTGTATTAGAGTGATAAGTAGGAAAAATATCCAACTCTGACATAGATTCCTGCATTAACATATAGCACATTTTATCTATAGTTTCCTGTAATCCGTTTCAGAAGCTATGACCAACTAAACTTAAAATTGTAACTGAAGTTAGTAAGTGTTTACTAAAAATGTTTCAAACCTCTGCCCAGAGATCCATATGGAGATTTTCCCATGGTTATTCTTTTTCCCTTGGGGCTGCTGTAAGTAGGTGAGGACTAAATGCTGCCATTTGCTTGGGATGAAAATATTCTCCTGTGATTCAGCCTGTGCCAGTAAAACAGCTTTTGTATCATCATTTGAATCCATGCACATTCTACAAAAACAAAAGAAAAAGTATAGGCTGAAAACATGGAATTTCTGATCTCAGCATTTAATAAATGTATAACTATAATTCTAGATATTTAAGTGAGATTAAAAAGCAGTTCTATTTTTAAACTTGCAAAGTCAGTAGGTCTTTGTTTTACACCATAAAATCTGCTTAGTTATTTTCTTATATTATTACCTCAATTCATGAGCTAAAATAGATGATGCTCATTTGCTGGTGTTAATAATTTAGGCACTAATTTTCAAAATTCAATTTGCAAAAAAACCCTTTATTGTTACTATTTCTACATTGCCCTTTTAGAAATTACAATGTAATATTTTGTTCATACAAAAATTAATACATGTTGTACATAAATGTCTAAATGCCAGGATGTACTGGAGGTCTACCCTACTTGGAGGGACTACTGAGAGAATTAGGATACAATGTATATAAAGTTCCAAATAACATATATAACAAAAAGTATATATCCCCTAATAACATATTTTTGTTTAGTTTTAAGTTTTATAAAAATAGTATCATACTATTCATACTCAATACAAGTAAAAGATTCGTATCTATACTAGTGAACAAAGGACACAGGAAAAAAAGACAAGATTGCAAGAAGAACTGAAGTTTATAAGATAATGGCTATTAAATATATAAACTGCAAGGAAAACAACTGTCTGAGAATAATATCTTAGGGTGACTGCAATCTGATAGAATACTTCCATAGATAAGACTTCAGTGAGCATTTGGTCTAAAATCTAATTGAGAATTAACACAATCTACTTTAGAGTTTAGTTATAGATTTTTGGATAGAATAATATATTGCTACAGAGGTGGTATTAATAACTATTAGGATGTATCTTCTTTTTAAATAGTATCTCTTCTTTTTAAATAGTATTTTCCTGATTTGCTGTAATGATCTTTATTAGCATATAAATTATTTAAATACATGATCTATTCAAAGGGGGGGGTTGAGGATAATCAATACCGAAAGATAAAAGTGCCTTTGTGGGGATCAACCCACACTTGGATCATCAGAGCTTTGGATCCCAATGAAATCATATGGATACATCCTTCTTCTATGAGCCTTTCACCAGGATTTATGTACTCTGCACCTTCTGGTCTGTTGTTCCCTATGATAAAAAGATGTTAGAATAATCAGTAAAGCAGCTGATAAAAAACTGAGTGGAAAAGTGAATTTAAAAGAACACAAAGCGTGGTTGTTCATTTGCAGTAAATTATTTACTTGGATGTCTGAACCTGACCTGTTCCAAACAATATTCCCAAAGTTGAGACATTAACTCCAAAAGAGCACCATGAGTGAAAACAGTAATTGAGTGCATTAAAAGTTATCAAATGTTTCAAAATATATGATAACTGGCAGTTAATTGTGGGAATGAACAAACCCCTGTGATGTCACTGCAGTGACCTATTACAATCTGTGCCACAATTCTTTTATTGATTGGATTGGGCCACTCTGACGTTAGGACCCCGGCCCAGGGAGCACACACCATTGTCACATGGCACTACCAAAGTCATCCTATAATTGTTACAATAGCATGATTTTTAAAAAATCAATAAATATATTCCTGTGTAGACTCCATGATGAGTCATCTTTGAATATAATTGCTAAGTGATTCTGAAAGTCTAAAATGTTTTCTAAGGCAAGCTGACATAATGCCATATGCTTTATCTTTAAATCGATTTGCCTTTCAGAGAAGATGATATATAGATATATATAGTTATTAGACTGTGTATATATTTTTGCCATTTTTCAACAGGTATAAACACTACCAATTTTTCAGAATACTCCCCCTAAACAATAGTAGTCTTTTATTAAAAGGAAGAGTTAAATTCATTGATTATTTTGGGGACTACTGCCCAAGATATGAGATGTATAGAGAATTCATGGCTGATATGATACTAACGTTTCCATATCAAATCTGACTTTGTACTAAAAGACTAGAACAAAAACCACTGTGTACGCAGATACTGTAAAGTAGGAATATGACAAATATTTCTTAATTCAATGCTCACAACAATCTTATGAGGTAAACTTTATTGTCCCCATTAAGAGGGTGACAGAATTGAGGTGCTGAAAGGTTCAATAACTTACTCAGTGTCACTAAGTAGGTTTAGCAGGAAAGGATGCGTTATCACTGTAATATTTTCCTCATCACTCCCTTCAAAATTTTGGTACATACACTATTTTTTAAATGTTCTTTTTAAATGTTTATACAGAGTCATCTTTCTAAAATGTGTCTTCTAATATATTTTTATAATAAAACTGTTAAAAATTTCCCAATGCTGACTTTTCTCAGGTCATTGTGTATACTTATTTCATTTTATAAGAGCCTGTTTGCATTGGGACTGCCCCCACTTAAATATGAGAAAGCAATCTGCACTGTTTATAGTGTCGGGGTGACATTTAAGCTCCGCAGTTGAATATAGGTGGGTTTAAATCCCTTTCCATCACTCGCCAGCTATATAAATTGGTCATGCTGTTTGATTTCATCTGCAAATATGGCCAGCATGAGCACTTACCTTACTGAATTGTTGTGAGGATTAAAAATGTGTGTAGAAAGAGCTGAGCAAAGTGACGCCCATCCAGAGAGCACCCAATGCACATGAGACAGTGTCAGCATCCACAGGGTCACATGGATGTCGCTTCGGAGCTATCATTCTTAGGTGGCAAAATTTGATTCACAAAAGAAATGCTAAAGCTACCTAAGTTTTTAAAAAGTTTGTCTTCCTAGACTAACCCACAAAAGGACATAAGTATGCTGTGCTAATAACACAGAAATGTGTCTGGAGAAGTGGATGCAGAGCTCCAGCTGTGGATATCAGGTGCCCTTTCCCACTCTTCAGTCTTGAGAGTGTCATTAAGGACTTTCCTTTCTATCTGTGAGTCAGCGGCAGAGGACCTGCCCTGAAGGCCTAGTATTCTGAAGCAGGGCGCCAGTGGGGTGTGTAAGCTCCGTGCAATGAAGAGCTCCGGAGGCCAGGACCACTGTATAAGCATAAACTCCTAACCATTTGCCTCCTCTAGTGACTTCATTCATCCCATGGCCCCTAACAATTAGCTCTGTGTTGCTTCTCACCACCATAAACAGCTTTATAGTGAACATATTTTTCCTGCCCTCGTCATATGAAGAATGAGACACAGTTTTGTGAAAGCGTAAAAGGGATTCGATCAGTTATAGAAAGCACTGGAATGGGAATGAGTCTAACTCCGGAGAAAGGCTGACGCATCCAGACATTCGGTGACAGGAACTAGGAGAGGGGCGCCGAGGTAAGATGTGGCTGGAGGAGGAGAGTTGAACTACAAGAGAGAAAGGAGATGAAATGGGGCTCGTAGGGGCTGGGGCGTAGGGAGCAGAAGGACGGAAAAGTGGCTCTAAGGTTGTATCCTTTCCTCTCTAACATCAGGAGTCACCCTAATCCAGTAATGGGACCAGGGAAGAGGCAGGAAATGGGGCTGGTGACCCCCCAGGGCATTTGGATATGCGGTGATCCCACTGCCGCAGCACCCCCACTTCCCAGTCCCAAGGCAAAAATATAGAAGAAAATGAAGTTTTCAAGGCTATCTGACATCCGAGGCTTTGGTAAGTCAGGGTCTGCCATCACTAAGGCACTTAGGGTGAAGAACATACTCAGAGCACGTGAGAACATCACCGTATTCTTACAGCTCAACCAAAATTGCCGTCTGAAAAGGCTTAGTGCACCAGGTAACAGATGTCAGGAACATCATACCTGTTCTATCCAAACTACTATCCCGTAAAATTAAGGATTTATTTCTTTTCTTGGTCTTCTTTCCTTTCTCCGTGGTTCTCCCAGCTTCGTGGACGCACTCCACATTAAACCACAGTGAGACGCTGAAGCCTTCCGACAGGTGGGGCCAGCAGTTCTGGCCCAGCAAGGCCAAGTGGACTGGGGCTACATGCCAAGAGGAGAGCAGATGCTGGGGGCAACTTCCACTCTCGGCCTCTTTCCTGCTCCGGGAACTCCGTGCTCTTCTTAATAATCCCAGGGCCTTACTGTTTAGAATCCCAGGACCCTTTTGTGATGAAACGCCATTGCTTAAATTTGGAGTATGCAGGAGAGGGAAGGTTAGGTACTGGGAAGGGCTCATCATAATGTCGCTTTCAATAATTTTGAGAATACCCAGAAGAAGAAATTCCTAGAGAAAAGGAAAAATAAAGTGTTACAATTATGTACATAAGATGCACAAGGTACATAATAATTTTGAAATTCTGGTTATAAATGAAAGTCCAAGCATACCCACACACATATCAGCATTCCTAGTTAAATATCTTCCTATCTACCATACCATTAAAATGTTCATAAGATATGAAATAGAGAGTTTATTCTTAAAATGCTAATCTCTTGCAGTTAATTTTAGATTTAGGTGCTTTTTTGGTACAACCCTAAAAGTTATGAGTTGGTTTTAAGTTAGATATTAACTACAATAATTATATCCACAATAATTTCTATCAAAGAAAGATGTTTATTTCCTAGTAGGCTATAGTTGCTTCTCTCAATTATTTTTAAGTGAGGGATAGAACCAGAGACCTTACAAATTCTCCAGATTCTGAATGATATTTATAGCATGACTGACTTCATAAAATTGAGTGGCTCAATACTTTCCAACTTATTTTACATGACTTTTCCCTAATCAAATAAATTTTCTTTCATCTGTTTTTGGTAACCAAAATAAGGGTTTTTAGGTTTTATTCATAAATTACAAATTTTGGGTTAAGTTGAAATGTAGAATTATAGAAAAGATAAGAGAGGAAAAGAACATTTAAAGAGAAAAGTAACGACTAAGGAGACAAGTAAAGTAGAGAAGAGAAATTTAGTCCAATATCCTGCCTAGTGTATGCCCTACACAAAAAATAACAGCTAATGTTGATGATGATAATGAGAACTGCACTCAGGGAAAGTAAAAGAAACATTCCCTAAATACAGTCACTTATCAAGTGTCTACATTAGTGTCTGTTAACCCTGTGTTCCACAGAACCTGTCAGGGTCCACAAGTTGGAGTAAGGTGGTGAAATGGGCAGGGCTCAGGAACATTCGACCTTGCTTCAGAGAAAGTATCTCTAAACTTTTCTGTTTTATTTGCTTATCCTTTAGTCAAAATTTTATTATAAAAATGAGTTTCTCAGCAAAGAACAGTTGAAAAGTCACTAAGCTACACCAATGGAAAGAAGTGATAGAAGATACCTGAAGGGTAGATAATAATTTTCTAAAAAGAGGATAATCCTTAAAATGGTACAAACTACTCATAATTAAGTTCTCTTTAGTAATCAAAATTATTTAGCATTTCTTAAACACTACGACTGGGGGTGGGATGAGGCAATGGAACTATGAGCCCAATGATATGACTGGTTAGCCAAAACAGAAGTGAAACAGTTAAAATATGTGCAAATAATAAAATGATTGAGCACTTTACACATAATAACATGGAGTTGACTGCATAATAATTACCACATTAAAAGGGAGAGCTTAGTGATTTCCAAATCATTTTTAAAAATACTCTATTAGGTATCAGTGAAAAAAATTTTTAATTATAGCATATTTACTGTACAAGGAGATTTCTCCAGAAATATTCTCAAAAGAAGGGTTAGCTCTTCTGAACATGTTCTTGAGCTCATCAAAGATACCAAAAGATCCACCAACACTCTTTGGCATGCTAAATTAAAGAAAGATAGAGGGAAAAAAATTAAAGCCAATACATAATTAAAGGTTCCAGACAATTTCACTGAAAGAGATCAAATACTATTGTCACATCTTCAATGGATTATAAACAACTAATAATCCAAAAATGTGCTGAAAAAATAGCAATACGATTAAATGCAAACCAACCCACTGACAAAAAAAAAAAAAAACACCACTTTTCTTAAAGATTGGTTAATTCCCAGGAGAGGTATTATTTAAAGAAGCATAAATTAATACAGTATTTGTTTAAAAAGTTGACACTGTCAGTTACCATAAAATAGTCTGCTACCTTTTCATCTTGAAACTGTTTAAATTATAACTACTACTTTCTAAATTAGATGACATATATGTAAGTGTAAATATTAAAGATTATGAAAACACTTAAATATCACGAACAATTATTTTGAACACTTTCCTCATTCCATTGTGGGGTTTAGAATAAAATATAATGGGTAGTACATAAATTCATAGAACTTTTTAGAATAAAGTAACTAATATTTGTAGCACATATTATAGTGTTCAAAGTATATTTATGCATTATCTCAGCTAATCCTCACCCAAAAAAGTCCTAAAAATGAAATATTATCTCCATTTTAGATATGACAGAAATAATCCTGATGTTCAAGCTGAGGACAGAAGCCCTGTTTCAGCATCATGTTTTGTAGAAGCGTGAACTGATGTGGTATCTGGAAAGAAACTCGCAACAAGACTACAAAATAGCATGGACTTTATCCTGTAAGTAACACGAGCCCATGAAAGGTTTTTGAGTAAGAACTATGCAAACTAGGAAATAAAGGAAAATAATTAAGTATTTCTCCTGCCTTTCCTTTATGAATTATACCTTAGAATAACCAAGTAGTTGATGAGAGCAAGTTTTAAGTATTCCAGCTTATCCAAGAAGATGAAATGACAGCATGTTACCATTTTGCAAGTCCCTAGGCTATGACCATCCATGGCTCCTAGCATCCCCCAAAGAGAGACAATCAGACATTATGTGCCTCTTACAGAGGCAGACTCCTGCCTGTAAGATATTCCGGTCAAAAAATGGAATCCGAATCTAATTAGGTTTCTAGATCTTACTGCCAATTAAAGGAAATATAAGATAGAGAGGATTATATTAAACAACCTCCCAGGGACATAATTGCCAAAATTCAGAATGCAGGAGATGCCTCATGATAGATGACCTGGCTCCTTCAACAACAAAAAAAAATGGCAAGGGGGTGGGGGGGAGTAGACATGAGATAGATCTGCTAATTGTAATGTATGAACCTAACTAGGATTCTGATTTAAAAAAAAAACACTATAAATAAAGTGTTAGATAATCACAGGTTGGGGGATAAAGTAATATGATCAAGGTAAAGTGTATGTATGCGCTTAGACTTTTTTTTTTTTTTTTCAATTCAAAACTAGCAGGTTCCAGTTCAAAATGAGGGAATGAAGATATATATATTTATATAAATTTGCCTTTGTCTACTACTGCAAACCCACTGAACTAAAAGTATAGAATTACAAAAAGAAAGAAATTCATAACAGCAAAAAAAGTGGGGGAGTCAGTGGGCGCCAGGGGCACATCAGATTTAAAAATATTTCTTGAAGATGGAAAGGCAGAGAGATAAAAGAGAAAGCTGCAGCTTCGAATCTCTTTGAATTACAAAGGGGCTCTGAGAAATGGAGAGCCCATCTGTCTGTCTACATTCTGGAGAGGAAGTAAGGAGGGGGCTACAAATGCAGGGATTAATACAAGGTCTGACTGCAAACACCTACCTCTCTCCTTGATTCTGAATACAGAGCACAGATAGCTCAGCTTTTACTTTTATGCCCCCAGCCTGATAACTGTTTAAAGAAACTCACTGGATTGCCAGGCAAAGGCTGAGATGGACCATGGGACATTAGCATCAGGCTACCAGGCATACATGTACAGTCTGCAGATGGGCCAAGTTGCTTCACCAAGGGAAAAAATATGGGCTAAAAGAAAACTGCAATGGTATTCACACCAAGCCATGCATCCTGGCATTGGGCTGTGTTGCCTGGATGAAGGGATGACTTTCTCTTACACAAAGACACTATTCACTAGCCAAGCCCTACGTGTGGAGGACATATTTTTCTAATGTACAGAAAATGCCATATGAGGTAAGAGTAGCCCTAATGGCCCTCCCAAGTGAAGCTCTTTTTATTACGGTATTTGGGGAGCCTCTATCATCCACTGGTACATGCACACAGAGCTCTCCAGTGGATTGCCCATTCAGGGAAGATGCCAAATAGGAAAGCAAATTTACAACATTAACTCCAACAGCTTTCTTAAATAGAAATGGGCAAAACAGGTTCACAAAATATTTGAGAATCAGCAATATAAACAAGAAAAACCAAGATATAAAAGACAAACAATTTGATAAACTGACCCCAGAGAGAAAATAAGTAATTTAGAGTAGAAAAGATATCTTTCTAAAATGTTAATTACTAAATCCAGATATACTTAAGAAGATATTATATCCTTATATGTAAATGGAATAGCCAGAAAACAAACAAAAAGAAGCTCTTAAATATTAAAAGATAACTGCCCGGGCACCTGGGTGGCTCAGTCGTTAAGCGTCTGCCTTCGGCTCAGGTCATGATCCCAGGATCCTGGGATCGAGTCCCACATCGGGCTCCCTGCTCAGTGGGGAGCCTGGTCCCTCTCCCTCTC